TACAGGGAATATAGATTTCTTTGGAGTTACTAAATCCATCATGTCTTTAACAACATGGACAAATCAAGTTTAAAAAAACTTTACATAGCTTAGCTTGTATTCTGGTGCTGTTGACCTGCAAGAGAATATACTTTTGCATATACAGCTGAATGTTTTACAATTTATGTATACAAGAAATTGTAGGCATTAAAAATATTTTATTGATATTTTAAAAATAAAATAAAAATACAACTATTTTTAAATGTCTTTTTCTTCTAATTCTAGCCTAGCATCCATATCATTTTTGCATCAGTTTTGATTAATTTCTTTTCGTCTTCATTATGGGTCATATATTTTTCCTCTTTTTGTGATAACCTTTGATTGAATTTCAGACATTAAGAATTACACTTTATTGGGGGATGGAAGTATTTGTATTTGTAGAAATATTTGTGAGCTTTCTCTTGGGATTCAGTTTAATAAGTTGGAACAGTTTGATCTTTTTTGAGTTTTGAGATTTTCTGGGCAGTACCAGAGCAGTGTTTAGTCTTGGACTACATACTCCTTGGTGTTAAGGTAAGAGCCTTTTGAGTACCAAGTTACTTTTGAATCATAAGGCTTTTTCACTCTGATTGCAGAGGGGGAGTAAGCACTGGTGAGCACCAGGTAGTGTTTCCTGCAGTCTTCCTTTCTGAAAAGCTCTTGAATCCATCATTTCTTTCTAATCTCTTTTGCCTTATCTTAGTTTAGACAAGTTTCATTGCTTTTTTCATCATTGCAGGATTTTCCATACTATCTTCTTGCTTTCTTATTAATTCATGATGCTCTAGTCAGAGGAATTTTATAATAATAATAATAAAAAAAAGAAGCTTAGCATGCTGGAATGATTCCTGCAAGATGGTGGGCAGAGTGAAGAGGCTGGTGACAAGTCAGAAGTGGTGGGGCTCATGCCCAGTCCACTGTACAGTGGTCCCCCCACTCCTGTGCTCTGCTTCCTTACAGACTCTCATTCCTGCAGTCTGGAAATACCTGTGTTAATATTTTAGAGGGAGAGAGACTATATCACATAGTGTCTGTTATAGAATATTGATGAGTATTGTTGTTGTTAATATCTTACTGTGCCTAATTAACAAATTAAACTTTATCATAAGTATGTATTTGTAAAAAAGTATATATGTAGGGCTCAGTCCTATCTGTGTTTTGAGGTGTCCTCTGGGGGTTTGGAATGTGTCTCCTGTGGATAGAGGGGGTACTGTACCATGTGGCCATCAATATTATTGAGTACTTCAGTAGTTTGCAAATCGTTTTCATCTTATTTCCTTGAATAACTTTTAGAAGTAGGTATTATACTCTTCTAGAAAAATGAATCTCAAGGAAAGTTAGGTAACTTCCTGCCCAGGGTCAAGAAGGCTGTTAAATGGAGAAGTCAGTATTAGAAATGGGCTTCTAGCTCTAAGACCCATATGTATAACCCCAATATATCACCTTAGAATTTACCAGTGGTTTCTGATGCCTTTCTAAGCTTGATTGTGATCTAGTTTGTTCCTAGCAATGTGATTGAACGTTGTCAGTTATTTGAACTATTAATTTTTTATCTGTAAAATGAAAATAATATTTACTGTAGAGGTTACACATGGACACAAATGACTTAGTGGTATGGTCTTAGTTAAGATTTGTTAAGAGTTAACTATTGTTACTACTAGTTAGATTTCTTAGTCTCTACTTTCTCAAGCTCTGTCTTACAAAACAATGACTAGCTTCTACTCATTATTGTACATTCTTTTTAATTTTCTACTGCTGTAAGCATTCTATAATTATTTTTTTCCTCTCTGCTTTAGCTATTCCTTCTGTTTGAATTGTTCCTTTTTTGCTCTGCTATCGAGATCTGTTTTATTAAAGCTTCCATATTCTCCAAAACATACACAGTTTGCCAAAAAAATGTGTACATTTTCAGGAAAATAAAAACTTGTATAAATATTTTAATACTAAATTCATTGAGACATCATGAGATTAATACAAGTTATCTTTGGCCTCTACAATTGCAAAATGTTCTCAAAGTGGTGGCCATGAGCTTCCTGAGTTTTATTAGTATGGCAAACTGCTGCTTGGGTAGCCTTAGTCCATTGAAATTGCTGGACACGCACCTCAGTTTATTCTCTAAGGTCCAGTGGTACAGTAGCTTTTCTATGATACACGACATCCTTTAGGTCCCCCATAGATAAAAGTGTTACAGTATTTATACAAGGTTTTCTTTCCCTGGAGTGTGTATACATTTTTTTGTGACTCCATATTTCTAATTATTTTAGCCTGAGCAATTCTTTTCCATTCTGAACCTTTTTAAAATTTATCCCTTATTCTCTAATTATACTTTAATTATTCATTTCTAAATCTTAGATGTTTTTCAGTTTTTATAGTGATGAACATATTTGTTCTATAAATGTGTATAATTTCTTGGATATAATTTAATTGGCATACATTATTGAAGAATTCTTGTGTTGGTCACTTCTCCATACTTAGGGATAAGCATGAATAAGACCTGGTCCCTGACCTCAAGTAGTTCCTAATATAATAGATAAGTTATATCTTATATTTTTGTGGCACAGCGTTTCTTAACCTCTCTTCCACTTTCATATCATTGCTGTGTGCAGCCTTTCATCAGTGTGTGCATGTGTGTGTGTGTGTGTGTGTGTGTGTGTGTGTGTGTGTGTGTGTGTGTGTGTG